CAATCATTTAATGACTATTGCATGTCTATTGGGATTGATGTGGAGCATCCAGTTGCTCATGTGCACACTCAAAATGGTCTTGCTGAGTCTTTAATAAAGCGATTACAATTAATTGCTAGACCATTATTGATGAAATCCAGTTTACCTGCATCTGTTTGGGGACATGCTGTATTGCATGCTGCAAATTTAATTCGGCTAAGGCCTACTGCAAATCATATTTTTCCCCATTGCAATTGGTAACTGGAAAAGAACCAAATATTTCTCACATAAAAATATTTGGATGTGCCGTATATGTACCAATTGCTCCACCACATCGTACAAAAATGGGTCCTCAAAGAAGGCTGGGAATTTATGTTGGCTTTGATTCTCCCTCAATTATAAAATATCTTGAGCCAATGACTGGTGATTTATTCACAGCTCGGTTTGCTGACTGTCATTTCGATGAGACAGTATTCCTAGCCTTAGGGGGAGAAAATGAGAAAAAGGACCCATGTACGAAAGAGATTAAATGGAATGCAACACGATTATCTTTTCTTGATTCATGAACAAATGCATGCGAACAAGAAGTGCAAAAGATAATTGATTTACAAAATGTTGCAAATCAATTACCTGACGCATTCACAGATTCAAAGAAAGTGACAAAGTCACATATTCCAGCTATGAATGCTTCTGCCAGAATTGAAATTCCTTCAGAGAATAATGAGAAAACTCTTGCAAATTAGTCTTCAATACGCAAAAAGCGTGGCAGACCACTTGGTTCAAAAGATGTAAAACCAAGAAAACTTAAAAGCCAAGAGACTATACTTGAAACAAAAGACGTTCATTCTTCAAAGAAAGAAAATGAACGAACCGAGCATGTTGATATAAAAAATAATATCAACGAACAATTTGTTTCAAATGAGGATTTAACCATCTCTGAAAATGCGAATAATTGAGATGAAGATAGAAACGTTGATAATTATGAGATTTCAATAAATTACGTTTCTACGGGATTATAATGGAACAGAAAAGATGTTCATGCTGATGATATATTCACATATGCCATTGCCACAAACATCATGGATGAAAATGATGACATTGAGCCAACTTCAGTTGATGAATGTCGACGTAGACATGATTGGCCAAAATGGAACGAAGCAATTCAGGCAGAATTGAAATCACTTAAAAAACGGAGTGTTTTTGGGCCTATAGTTCCTATGCCAAAGGGCGTTAAACCAGTTGGTTTCAAATGGGTTTTTGTGCGTAAGCGCAATGAGAAAAATGAAATTGTGAGATATAAAGCCCGACTCGTTGCCCAAAGTTTTTCTCAAATTCCGGGGATACATTATGAAGAAACTTATTCCCCAGTAGTTGATGCAACTACGTTGAGATTTTTGATACGCATGTCTGTCTTTGAAAAACTTCAAATGCGTTTAATGGATGTAGTGACAACATATTTATATGGATCTCTCGATACTGACATATATATATGAAAGTTCCTGGAGGGCTAAAGATGCCTAAGGTTTATAGTTCAAAACCTCGAGAGATGTTTTCCATAAAATTGGAAAAGTCACTATATGGACTAAAACAATCTGGCAGAATGTGGTATAATCGTCTCAGTGAATATCTGCTCAGAGAAGGATACAAAAATGATCCAATTAGTCCATGTGTTTTCATCCAAAGATCTAAATCAGGCTTTGCCATTATTGCAGTATATGTTGATGATTTAAATATCATTGGAACTTCTGGTGAAATAGAAAATACTGCAAAATATCTCATGAAAGAATTTGAGATGAAAGATCTTGGGAGAACAAAATTCTGTCTTTGTCTTCAAATTGACCATTTGAAAGACGGAATATTCATCCACCAGTCAAATTACACGAAGAAGGTTCTGAAGCGGTTTTATATGGATAAAGCACATCCTCTCACATCCCCGATGGTTGTTCGCTCTCTCAATGTACATGATGATCCATTCCGACCTCGTGAAGATGATGAAGAAATACTCGGTCCAGAAATACCATACTTGAGTGCTATTGGAGCTTTGATGTATCTAGCAAACAACACTCGACCAGATATTGCATTCTCAGTGAACTTGTTAGCCAGACACAGCTCGACCCCGACTAGGAGGCATTGGAATGGCATTAAACACATTTTGCGATATCTCAATGGTACCATCGACCTTGGTTTATTCTACCGCAAAGATGCCAAGGCCACTCTTGTTGGATACGCTGATGCAGGATATTTGTCTGATCC